ATATCTTGCCGTTGAGCTGGAAGTATGTTGTCAGGCAAAGGTTGATGAATTCCATCAGAGTTGAACATTTAAGTTTTGTGCATTCTGAAACGCTTGTGTCTTCATTCAGCAGAAGGGACATAGTTTCCTTGGCCAAATGAGATTCAATGGGTGTGTATAGTGCTGTGACATCGAAGGATACCATTAGTTCGTCGTTTTCTATGTTAATATTTTTGATCTTTTCTAAGAATTCCGTTGGTGATTTGATGGAATGTCCGCATGATTGAACGAGGTGTTTCAGTTTTCTCGAAAGTTATCTTGATATGTTGTATGTTGGGGTTCCTGGAAGTGAGACAATTGGTCGTAGAGGGATATCTGGTTTGTGTATTTTTGGTCTGCCGTAGAATCGAGCAAGGACAGGTCCATTCGATTTCATTCTTTATTTGTCTTGTTTTGTTATTTCTTCTGCTTTGAAGAGTTTGTTCAAGGTTTTATTGATCTGGTTGTTGAACTTCAGGATAGGGTTAGTTTCAAGTAGTTGATATACATTTTCGTCTTTGAGTAATTCCTCTGTCTTACTGATGTAGTCTTTGTCCGTGACTACTGTAGTGCATCCCTTGTCTGCTGGAAGTATAACGTCTTTCCTATTTTTCAGCCTTTTAATGTTTTCTGTTCTTGACTGTTCGTTTGGGAGTTATGGTACTTCTACTTGTTTAGTGGTACAATTATTTGCCGTATTTCTTGTTGAGTGGCCTCATTTAATCCTGATGTTGTAAGTGAAGACTGTAATGCCGTAAAGAATTCTGGTCTCGTCGCATCTCATGTGTCGTACTTCAATCCTTTTTGAAGAAGAAGTTCTTCCATTTTTGTAAGTGGTTTTTTTGAACAACAATAACATTGGTCAAACTATTCTGTTTGAATAGGCCAATAAGATCCTTTTGCTGACAAAACGTACTGCTGAGTTATTCTATAGGTTTAAGTGTTACCTTTATTCCGACATTGTTAGGAATTCCATATAAAGTTTCTGATGTTCTTTCCTTTTGAAGAAACACTATAGAAACCTTGTGCTCCATTACCATTAGTATTCATACTACTGTTAATGCTTCTTTCATGTGTGTTCTTACAAATTTTTTTAGTAAATTCCAGAGGATAATTATTGACTAATGGTGCTTCCTTCATATGTTTCAATTCTTTGTTTAAGTCTCCGGTTTTGTTAGTCAGTTTTATATGTTTATTGTTTATACATTTGACTAAGCTTGCTGCAACTTACATTACGTGAGATGTCTTGAAGTCTAGATACTTGTTAGAGGGTGTAGCTTTTTTGTATACTGTAGTATCCAAACCATCATCTGTTCTTAGCTTTACTTTGTAGTCTAACATAGCTAGTTCTCATTGTTCATTTCTAACTAGTAAGTAACTTGGACTGCACCCAATCAAGAGTTTATACGTGTGAACAAATTATGGGTGCGTCCTGATTTCAACACAGTAAATGCATCATCTGCTTACCACGACCATATCCCGAAAGGAGGATCAAACCTCCGTAAATCCATATGTTCCCATTAATCCGTAAATGTACTTTCTACGATTGGGGATATGTGAGATGCCACTACTTCTCTTTGTGTTTGTCGATATATTTTATCCGGAAGCTTGAAGAGTGTAGAGGTTAGACACAAGTGCACACCTAACATGATCTCATCAAATGGCACATTAGTTCAATGAGTAATTTGTGCTTCAGTATTTTGCTGATTTCTGAATGACTTGATTGCCATTTTGACTGGTTTTATAACATAAAGGCCGGTCACATAGGAAATAATAATTTTTAGTCTTGTTCTATATATAATTCATTGAGTCTTCCTTTCAATTCGTAGGAACTGACCAATCTACAATTTAAATGGTTTTTGATAGGATATATTTATGCGAAGTAATCGGATAGTTCATAATTTGTAGTGTTTTTGAAGTCAACTATCGGCCTCCATACTGCCGGATATTCATGATGTTGTATTCCTCTTGGTGACTTGCAGTGGAATCCAGGACACGAGTTCTGTCCAATTTAGGCGCTGGGTTTGAGTCTCATTGGGAACATCACTTACCGACGTGCAGGTAAATCTAGCTAACAAATCTGAAATAGGACAAGACGCGTGCTGGATTCACCCGCAAGTCATCAAGACGAATATATCATCATGAATATCCGGCAGTATCCAGAAATCTGCTTAGAAGTCCATACATCAACTGAGGTTGAGCAATTCCAAGCTGTTCGGTAACGAAGAGTTACAAGTATCAGAGAACAACAAATTAAAGATGGAGATACATTCTGCCTTAGTGCCCAAGTTTTACAGATATTAGTGAGACTTATGGTTTTCTCGTTCGATGATTCTCATGACTTTCATAAACTGAAGCACCATTCACAACCCATCATATTTTTAACATTCGCTGTATGAAAAACTAAGTTGCTCCTAAATCTACCCATCTACACACTGTAGCATCAACTGACAAATTCAGAACGACGAAATATGCCCATTCATTCATGAATAAGATCAAGACATGTATCAGCGAAGAAATATTTCTTTTCAATAACTTCGCTATCAATCTGTACAGTCGTATTTATAATCTGTAAAATGACAGATAATTGAGCTAAAATGTTGCTCAGTCAACATACAGGATATACAATTGGTGTTAGTAGTAGGATTTGTTCTTGTGGAAGAAATAGAAAATGGGCCACTGAATAAGAAACGAAATGATAGCAAGTGGTGAAATGAGGGACAAGGGCTGTCAAAGAAATGTAAATTGGTGGTAATTTAACTAAAGCAAAATGGGTCAGTGAATAAGAAACGAATTGATATGAAGTAGCGAAATATGGGTCAGATACTGTCATTGAGGTGAAAAATGGTGATAATGATAATAATAACAGTGAAGTGAAATAAAATTGACAAAATAACCAAAGTGAATTGTAAAGGCCAAGGCAGAGAAAGTGGTTGCACACATTTTTGAATGCAGTTTCGATTTTTGTTCGTGTATAGCTAATGCTTCAGCACTGCATGAGTGGTGGAAACGTAGACCTTTAGAGTAGTTCAGTTTGACTTTGTAAACTGTCTTAACGGACGAATCTCGAGTAGATGAATGACTTAACTCTACTAGGTGCCATATGTGAATGAAGTTGTTTTTCTTCGCTCACCTTCGATAAGCCGAACCGGGTTACTTTCAGCAACGCGTTTTCAGAGGGCCCGTTTACAACATCTAATATAGGCAGCTCCACAGCAGCATATGAATATGTAGGTACATATAGGTATGAACTTAAGTGGTAGCCTATTCTTCACGCATTGTCGACTCAGAAGACGGCTTGAGAAAATCAATCTCAGTCTAGCAGCATAAAAGGCACTGTCGATACACTTTGACAGATGGCTTTTCAGCACTTCGGCTGTGGTGTCGCCTTTGAATTCCGGATTCATGATTAAATGTTTTTAGGAACTGTAACGGAGTGAGGGGTGATTTGTTTCTTCAGTAACTCTTCAATAAATCTTTTAGGGTATACATTGTTCGATAGTGTTATTTTAAGAGTTTCAATTTCAACATCTACCGTGTCTTCTGAACAGATTTTTATAGATTCGGATTTCTTTAACAACTAAGAGGTACCCAACTTATAAAGTGAGTGAACTGACCAGTCCAAGTTGGTTTGCGATAGACTGACCTTTGAATCAAGCGATCATCTCTTCTCTTTAACATTACGCCTAGGAAGTGGAACGTTGAATTTATCCCTTCTTCTGAAGTGAATCTAATAGACCGGTGACAATCACTGTAACAGCTCTGCAGCTCGTCCACTGAACATGTTTCCTCGCAAACAAGAAAACTGTCGTCAGTGTACCTTCTATTCACACTAAGTTCCCATATTATTCTTTTAAGTGACCCAAGTCAGAATGACAATGAAGAACGTCAGAAGACTATGTCTAAACGAAGTAATTCACGGGATTGTTAAGAAGTTAACTATCAAAAGGAATAAAAGTGCTAAAATGAAATTATACTGTGATACAGTACCCAAATTTTTCACCATAATACAGTGTTGCTACCAATTAGTGTACCTATCGTTTTCCTGGTAATTTTTAGTCAGGTTGAATAGCATTCATCTTATTTAAGTATCTGAAGTGTTTTCATCGGATTAACTTCATCGCTGAGAAAATATTTCGATTTCTAATTAGAACAAATGCGTGATGTCATTGCTGTAATATTGAAGACGGCTTTGTTACTATAGCTCGTTCCCCACGTTCTCCAGTTGTACGATTCTTACTTATTTACTCACTGGGAAAATTTTCATATGAAACGCTTCTCCAGAAAACATTTTTGCAGCACTTCGTTATCATTTATAATTACATAATATGATACAAATTATGTCAGGGTACACACTCGATGAATTCATTCAGGCGTGTTAACATGTTCATATACGTATTCTTGTGTGTATGTACACTGATAAGTTAGTGTTATGATAACTTCAACAGAACTTGTGAAATATGATTTGCGGCACTTGGTGATAACCCTAGACATAATCAAAACTTGATTGAAGTAGGTGAAATTATGGAGATTTCGGTTATTCTGACCTCTAGTCATGTACATTCGCATAGTTTATTGGCGTACATGCAACCGAATGAGCGTCAGACCGACACATCAGACAAACTTCGAATCATGATTATTTTAGGCATAGCGCCAACCTGGTTAAATAAATCTGACCAAACATACATATCCATTTACTTAGTTAAGTGACTTCTTGTGCATTTATATATGCATAAATATGCATATAAATGATTGAGTGGATGAAATTCGTGCGTACATGTTAGTGTACAATACAAAAATATGAATTGAACATTGACACTTGAATGAATAAATAAGAAGGTTTCTACAAAATAAAATTCTGTCTACCACATTTAATTGCACAGCAGATAACCGAGAAGAAATATTCAAGAAATTCTGTTCATCAAAAGATAATATTCTCAGGAAATTAATTCTTATGTTAACTTACTGTTTAAAGTTTGAAGATGCCTTTAATCTTAAATTGTTTACATAGTACACATTCTTTGTTGCTATCATCATTTATTTCAATTCTAATTCTTCTTACCGACTGTCTACTACAGTTAACTGCTGCAAACCATCAAAGGTTTCAAAATGGCCCCCAGAAGTATGCAATCATCACAACCGGTGGAGCACCTAAACCATATTTTTCACAGAAGTTGAACAAAGACCTATATGATGCAGATTATTCGCGTAAAGTCAATGTTAAAGTAAGTGATATTTTAACGAGACAAGCTGCAGCTGCAGCCTTTTCATCTTCTCCAACGCCTGTAACTTCAAATTCTGTAAACAAAGCATACAATAAAGTTAGTGGAAAACCTGAAAGCCTTGAGCATCCACTGAGAACAAATTTAGAATCACGGTCTGATGGAGCTGGTTCAAGTTTGGATCACTTTACAAACAATCAGAGAGCCCAGATTGTGGTCAAGCCTTCTGAAAATATTGACAAGAATTCTTTACTTTTACCATCCAAAGCTTCTCAACATTCAATTGTCAACGAAGATCGTTCATGGCCACCTGAATATTCGCATGAATTTGAAAGAGTTGATGTACGTGTCTTAGGTGAACGAATTGATAGTAAGGCACTTCTTCACTTACGCCCAAGTTCCACTGCTGCATCGATACGCAAGTTACGTCGAATCCTTGGTGCTGATTTACAAAGTGACTGGATGTCAATAGAAACTCCACCAAATTCCCTTAGTTCATCTATCAAAAGTACACGCTCTACACTATCACCCAATATTCCTAAGCCTGATAATCACTTAGTAACTGCTGTAGAAGAGCTAAATTTCACAGTATTTCGCTCGGTGAATGATGATGGATTAATTTACCCAATCAAAATGACTATTGATCAAGTAAATATTATGAAAATGTGGTTATTACAGCGAGCTACATGTGGAATGGAATACATATGGGAAGATTTGGGACCATTATTTTGGCCTAGATGGATTAGAAGGGGAGTTTGTGTGAATACTCATTCGTGTTCTTGGCCACCTGGCATGCGTTGTCGTTCAAGCGGTTCACGAGCACTGAAGTTATTGCGATGGGTAAGGAGAACTTGTAAAGTCTTGACGATATTTCATTTTATCACTCATTCTTCAACAGTTAGGAAGAAATACTGTCGGTAGGCAGTATTAAGTGAATTTGAAACTAGTCTTGAAAAAGCCAGACATACATGATCATTTTATGATGCAGTAAAATTTTATAAGCATTCAATCCAAAAGTATCTGTTTCATGAAATAATCTAAAACATTTTGGTAATTCCATTTGGAAAAAGAATTTATTCTGGTCAGTTGAAAGTTGTGAACTCAGAATTACCATAAAGGATGATTATTCCATCTGCATTTGAAAAATACTAGACTATCGGGTTTCACCCTATTAACTCAGATTGTAGCCATTTTGCTTCATAAACAAGCATTTCTGAGTTCGATTACACAGAGAAGATTAAAATTTCAGGTTTACCAAGAATTCTAAAGCTAGGAAAAATTGTTTATTTAGTACTTCTTCGCCACACTGTGTATCAAGTGATATCCTTTTGAAATGACAACCGTATTCAAATTAAAACAGTTCTTACAAAACGTCAATTGTAAATACATGGTAGGAATAATAATAATATATTTATATCAACTATAATCAAGAGTTGATCGAAAAGTATCGCGAATACTGGGTGCTAATTAAAAGGTTGACATTATATAAAATTTATATTTGTGCAAGTCACAGAGTGTTTGAAATAAAATTAATACAAAGTTTCGCACGAAAGTCCTGTCCGAAGAGGACTGGATAAGGAGATTAAGTACACGTCTTTGAATTCAACTGTATGTCTTTAACATTTTAATTTTGATTATTTCCCCAAAAAGCTGGAATGAGATTTCAGTACGAAACGTTGGAATCATTTTATTTCAGACACGTTGTGATTTACACAAACAAACTATGTCTGATAACAACGATAATACATCAAAATTCAGTAGATCGATATAAGTATATGTTTTCGGTGAGTTTATTTGAGTTGGTTTTTTTATTACCGAATACTGTTGGTTAATGAACGTGGTTTCAAACTAACAATTTTATTTTGCACTGTGTGCTCATAACATGAAGTTAGAAACTTCGATTTCATGAAATCATGAAAGTATCGACCAGTTTGCTCACATACTTTAGAAGGCAACATTTACAATTGCATTTAGGGAATTTTATGTTACTAAGCATGAATGAGGATGGTTCCTCCTGAATCTTTTCACTGAAGGACGTCATGTTCTGTCGGCAATAATAATTGTTACTATTTATTTATTGGTTTATCATAGTTTGCCTAATTAAATACTCTTGCTGTACTTATACTAAATATCAGTAGTGGTATGAATTCTCAGAATTATTCATTGGGACAGATGCTATTTTTCGATTCATGAATAATTTACGTACCACTGTAGATTAAAGTAGTTTACATAAATTTTGTGTTGAACACAATAATACATGATATCAGTGTTAGTAAAAATGCTTTGAGACTAAGTTATGAAGATGAAGGTAATTTTCCTTCATGATTGAGTTTTATTCAAGAAATACTAACGCCCAGGTTAATCAAATTCAGGAAGTCTAACTATTTGGCAATGAAACAGCATTGTTTGAAGATGACGTACGAACTGTTGACCAATATTCAATTGTTTTCAGACTTCAGAAAAAAGAGCTGTTTCTACAACATTTGATTACTGCAAGCGCATAGTGTGTGACTTTGTGGATAAATGAGTAAATCTTGATAAGAGGTAGTTCGCATTTAGTAAATCAGATAACTTGAAGCAAACCGGCTTCTCATCTCTTTCTGTCTACTTCCATCTGAGCAACCAGGTAGTATCGTAAACTTTCACACCCTGAGTGTGCCCCATACCCTCGTAGATAAACCTATGCTTGGCCGAGATGAATAAAAAAAATTCAAAAATATTCAACGAAGTGAACATTAAATTACTTTGGAATTTGTTAGGACCTTTTGTATTTATTGGCCATAACCTATACTGTTTTGATTGACTTTTTTCCAGGTATTCAGTTTTCGTTAGTGGAAAAAACTTATAGGCATGAGCATTTAAGAGTTACAGATGAGTGACCACTGCTTTACATATTGGAAACTTAGTAGTCATAAAAATTCCAAGCATCTGACCAGCTCATCAAAAGGTTCTTCACACCAACAGACACTGTATGCATGCTAATCTCTCACTGTGATTTGCGTAACAAATTTTAGGTTGTGAGGTATATATCTAATGACTAACTCAATCATCACCTTACCTACTTCCAATAAATAGGTGGGAGGTGTAATAATGCCAGAAGTTACACATACTTAAAAAAGGGGTACAACCATGTCCGCTGACATTAGAGTTTCATAGGAATTTCTCGTCATCTAATTATAAATCAATGAATCGTTTTTTTATTTAATTTGTGTACACTATAGTATTTGATTAAAATATTTACTTTTGTTCAGATTTCTTGATTTCCAAACGTGAAAATTTCTGAAACAGAAAACTGTTTTTGATTGCCACTTTCTGAAGTGAACTCTTTTAAGCGTTCAGGAATTTTACTAGTCTAATAAGACTTACTTCATGAAAAAAGCCGAGCAGTTCAAGCGATAGATGATGGTTAAGTTAAACAGTTCTATCGTTGCCCACAAAGCGAAAGAAGAACAAGCATTTCAGCGAATATTCTCTTTTTGGTGATTTCATTTTCAAAGCTGTACGAAAGCGAATTTGTACACTTTTCTATTGTAAGGATTTGATAGTTAGAGACGGTTTGTCATGCATTGCAACACAGATGGTCGTTCGATGTTACCGTTATCCAAAAGAGTTCAAGAGCACTATCCCGCATGGTTACAAAGCGGCAACAATGGAGCGATAAGGAGTGATATAATCGAACACATTCTCAACACGAATCACCCTATCTCAAGAACCTCCTCGTTAAAGTCATCTATAAAGTGAAAATAAACCTTCCAAAGGCTGTATGTCTTCGTATTCTCTGCATCGCTGAAGCTTTTGCTATTCATACAGAGAAACCTGAACTGTGTACGTAAAAAAGGTCTTAGTTTTCAGTCCTTGAAATCTCCTCTCCACCTCCTTTCTTTTCGTTTTTCTGTTTGAACACTATTCACTTCTTAAGCAGTTTCCTAATCCTTCTCGTTGCTATGCTCCTTTTGATCACAATTCAGTTTTTAATTATGTCGTCATGTCACGAAACTTCTTGTCCAAACTTATTTTGATTAATATTCACCACTCATCACAGTTTTTTGATTTTTTGGTTTTAATGACACCTCATATATTGATATTATTTGTGCTGCCATCCTTGACAAACCGTTTTCAACTATCAAATTCTTACACTAGAAAAATGAGTAAATTAGCGTTTGTAGAGCTTTGAAAATGAAATCGCCGAAAAGAAACTCTTTTCTAAAATAATTGTTCTTCTTTCATAGAGAGAAAGAAAACAGAAGACATTCTTGTTTTCTCATACAGAGCTGAAAATCCACCCAACTGTAATGCATTGATGTCAGCTGACACTGAAATGACATACGATGTACAGCGATTTTTACAAATTTTTCATGCATACTGTTGCTTGTGCTCACTAAGTAAATTGGAGTGCAGCTGTAGTTAGATCACAAAACGGAATGATCATTGGATGTCAATTTCTGTAATTTTGAGTCGGAGAGTAATCATATTTTAGGTCAGCAATGGTAAATATTGACAACCTGTTTACTAATAGCCTATTTTTATGTGAACACTTGGCATCCCACCATGATACTAAGTGACCGCATGACGAAAGGAAACGTTTCTTTTATGAAGTTAGGTCGTGTAATATGAAGTATGGTCCTAGATATACTGGATACATAGGGAGAAGTAAGCGAATTTTTCGACTTGTTTAAAAAGGATAAAGCGGAACTTTTAGTATTTTACCTGTTTCGTCTGATTCTACGTTATTTGACAAAACCTTACATCAGCTTGTAAATATAACCACTCTGAAGAATACTTCGTGAATATAATTTTATTGAAATAGCCTTATATATATATATATATATATAACTGCTTTGTTCCAAACAACATGTATGGAGCGCTATGGAATTTTTACCAGGTAATATTCGAACTAATTAACTCACTGTAAATTATATTTTTGAAAGAAACAATTATTGCCTCTTAGTAGTGTTAATATTATTAGTATTAAAGGCACTAATGTGAAACGGGTAGCTGGCGTTACATTTGTGTTTGGTTTAAAATCGGAAATGAACACAGAATAAATCCAGTGGAATTTTGATGGTTTCAGTTTAATCAACAAGTCTAAAATCTACAATTCCATATAGAGGTATCCTAGGAAAAGTAATGTGCTGTATTTTTAGCCATTTATATGTCCATTTAAATCCTGTCCAATAGTTTTTTCTTTCTTTCGTTCTTAACTCGAGAAACGACAGTTTGAAAACATCTTAAAAATGTACGAGAGTATATGAAGCGTTTAGAAGACATATCTAAATGATTGAAACAAACGGAAAAGGAAGCATTTGATGTGTGTTTGGTGGAAATTTTTGGTAGCTCATGCTTTAATCAGGCCGCCCTATATATGTATTATGAAAAGAATCTTTGTTCATGAAGTTAGTAAATATTTTTACTTCCATACGCGACTTAAAAAGATCATTCCAGTGAATATAGTTACCGACATTTTGCCATTTATTAGTACTTGGCTACTTGGAAGTGATTATTACGTATTTGAATCTAATTTTAAATGCAACAAAATAGGGTTAAGATTTGGATAAGATCTGAACGAAATGAGTGACCACGGCATAAGATATTTGGGACATTCAAGATTTTAATAATGATTGACCCTATTTCCATTTGAGTCAACGTAATCGAATTCAGTCTAGCTAGTTCTCGTTTGCCTGTATTTCACTAATAAAATGAAGGGAAGAAAATCGATATCTAGTGCTTTGTGCTTTGACTAATGATGAAATATGCTGGAACTTATTGTTAAAAAATAATACTTTTATCTCAGAGGAGAAGTTAGCAATCTATGGGTATCAGGTACACATGGCCCATGAGTCGTAAATGGGAAGAAACGTCCATTCGATGTCCAACTGCTTGCAAGTGTTCATCGTTGCCATTTAAGAAGTTCATCTGTAGTC